ACGAGGAAATCCAAACATTTTGTATGGGGACTGTGAACGTGTTAAAAACCAGAGGCTTAATCGATAACTATATTATATTATTATTAAAAAAATATATATACAGATGAACATACAATGGTTTTTTTCCTGAGATCATAATCATAACAATTTTTAAATCGTACAATCACATAATAATTTTATAAATAAAGATTATTATTATTATTAATTTAAAATAATACAATTTACCGTTTCTATTTATATTATGTTGTAAGCAAATGGTTCTTGCGAACGTGTGTTCGTCTTCAGTAAGTGTTAGTCTATTATAAAATCTAGTAAAGGATGTAAGATGTCGGAGTCCAACTCGCAGCCTTGCGTATGAGCTCTATCGGCACCTCAGCCGCGCGCGGGGCTGGCGAGGAGACGTACCGCGTGCTATGCGCGCCAAAAACTGCTGTGTCCACACCCGCCACGCCGCATCCAACACCTGCCGTACACATCAGCTCTCGGTCTCACTCGTAGCCCCTCTGTGGGGAGCTGTCTGTGTGTCAGCAAGAGCGTTCCCTGACGTCCAGTTGTCTTATTTTGTGTTACCAAAATATAATGTTTGAAAACTGCGACAAGGCAAATACTTGGATCCTCTCTAAAATATGGAAAATTTAATGTGGCCTGTACGCGACCAGACGCAGACGTTTTGATTAAATCAGGTATTGCAATTTTAATCGGAATATCTGATATTTGTATGTTTTTCATTTTAATCAATGCCAGTCTTTACGCGATGTGCAAGTGCAAGTAAAATAACATGTTTTTTCGTAAGTTTTTTCAAGAGGAAGTTCTGTGTTGGGAAACCACGTTGAAACTAATGCAAGAACGACTTGGGGATTCCAAGTATTGCTATACTTTGGTGCACTGGGTTTCAATCTAAATTAAATAATCGTTTTATGCAGGCATCTGAGCCTGTTTCAGACTATAAAAGAGATAACGCAGACTGTTATTATTGCAAAATTCCCACCAGAGCTTTAGGGACACATTATATTGTCTAATCGTATTTTAAGAAGGAGAAGCTAAGGGTAAAGTCATCGCCTCTTGTGGGACTCCGCGGGAGGCGAAGGGCGCGCTGGTAACGGCAGAAAGGGTAAGGCTGGTGTGCAGTTGATGAGGTCGCCTGCAATAAGATTTAATAATGATTCGCTTGAGTTAAAATATATTACGTCGGAAACCGACACTTTGCAGCAGGAGGAACCATGGCTGGGAAGGCCAATTTGGAAAACCAAGAGTACCATTTGCTTGGTCATCAATTAATTTTACGTATGCAATTCAATAATAAAAGGAAGAGTGGGAATACGTAGAAAAAAAATTAGAATTCCGATTAAGTATAAAGGCATCTACGGCAAATGCTCCTAGTTCCTGAAACCGAGAGACAAAAATAGCGGATTTCGCATTGGTGCGGATTTCGCAAGAAGACCAATCTCGGGTTGTCCGAAAAGTCTGACAATGGTCTGGAAGGCGCGAGAGGATAACTCCCACTCGGTGTCGGGATTAGTCTTCCTAGATTTTATAAAGGCGCGATTATCTTTTGTATTTACATAGTATACACATATGCATACTAAATTATGTTGCGCTTTTCGCACCATTGCCAAATTGGTTTACTTGAATAGTTAAGGTCCCACCCATCCTTGCGATATATGTAATTGATCGCCGTAGTACCTATTGCGTACTCGCAACAATATAACACAATCAGATTATATTAATATAATATAAGAATACTGCAATTGTTAGTAATTGATATGGTGCTTCTTCTCAACAGCCGTTCCGTTGGCCTCCTGTGCTACTCGAGCCACATACGGAATCCCAACAGGTGCGCGGTGCATCTGTATAAATTCTAATTTAAAACTTGAGGTTCTCATATACGATCAAGTATTAAGAGTCAAGAGTAAATATTTTCTGTCCACCAACTCAAATCACTTAGAATATATCTGGAACATAAATTGTTGCTTAATAGTTAATGTCATGTTTTTGAAGACTTAGAAATTTCTGAATTTCCAGTAATTTTGTATACAACCAACCGTATTTAGAGGTTGGGCAAGCTGAGATGAGGACACCAATCAATTGAGCGTACTCCCGTATGGTACATAGGGGTAACCTCATTATTTTTTAAAGTGGCAAATTTTTTGACGTTTTTCTAATACTTAAATTTCATGAATCAAAATTGAATCTTAGATATTTACAAACTTACATGGTTGTAACACAGACTTGCCGTAATTAACTATGAAGCCTAAACATTGCAATAAGTTAATGGTTGCATTAACATTATTGATGCATCGTTATAATCAGCTGCTATACAACAAATATCATCTAAATATACCACGGACTTAAATCCTTGTTGTCTCAAATGTGTTACAACTTCTTTCATGATTTTGGTAAACACTTTCGATGCTGTGGACAAACCGTATGTCAGAGCAGTAAATTCATAGGTTTCAATTTCATTTGAACCACAAGTGTAAGCGACATATTAGACATATAAATAATTTTGTCCTATTGTAATT